CGCCAAAAAAACGCCAAGTTACCATAATGTAAAGATCAACCCAAAGTGGAGAAATATTTTTAAGTTTATCAATGACTTCAACAGAATTTTTTACAGTGTGAATATTGTTAGCAAGTAGAGGAGAAAATCTGGAAACTAAATATTTGGCCAAAGGATATGAAGCAGTACCTATGTTGGAAACAATTGGTCGAAAAGGAATACCGGTTTTGTGGACTTTTGGAAGAGCATAAAGCCTAGCACAATTAGTAACAGGTGGAATAAGTGATTTCTTCAACTGAGTTGGCAGAATATGACAAGATTTGATAGCACTTTTAACTTTCGTGAGGTCCAAAAGTTGAAGGATCTTTAGGGATCAAGCAGTATGGGCCTTCATTTATCAGTTTAGAGACTCCAGTAATATATGTGTGTTTGTCCATAACAACGATCTGTCCGCCCTTATCAGCTTTAGAGATAATGAAATTAGTATCAGAAGGAATTTCACGTAAGATCTCATTTTGCTTTTTGCTAAGATTCGAACCCAAAGATTTGTTGTTAAAATTAATGTTATGAGTAATTAGGTGGCGGATTGTATCCTTCTGCACTTCCGAAATTTCGGAGAATTTTCTATAGGGGCGATGATTTGAGGAATTGAAGGTTTAGGTGTCTTTGAAATGTTGAAATTATATTTTAATACTTTTAACTGATCCTCCGAAAGATTCCTTTGGAGATATTAACGATGGGGTTAACGTTTACAGTGAGAGGATTAGCTAGATAGGTGGGACTATCCGACTGGTGTGTGAACTTAAGGAATTTAGAAATAAGCACATTTTTATGCCGTTGATAAACGGTATTGGTTCTAGACCAGGATGTATGTTCAAATGAGGAAAAATTTTCCGTTGAAGTAGCAATTTTTAAATGGAGGTAATATAATTCAAATTCAATTTTAGATAAACGTTCGCGCGTGTCCCTTATAATATGACGAAGAAGTGCCAATTTGAATTTATGCAAAATTTTTTAAACATGAACGGAAGATTTAAGGCTACATTTCACATGTATAAATTTGGGAATGATATTTTGATGTTTGCATTTAAGTAGAAACTGTAGATGATTCAAGAATTTCGTACGCTTAAGGCGTAACTTACAAAATCGGTTCCTGTCAGTGGACATATTGTGAAAAGGGTACAAGCAAGACACCAAAGAACAAAAGAAATATAATTCCGAAAGTCCAAAAAAGGAATTACTTATAACATGAAAAAACACCAATAAATAATGAAGACAATTTTCATCAACATATGACAAAAACATTCCAAAAGGAGAGAAACATCCAATACTGAAAACCAATAGCCACATGGAAAGAAGCAACGAAAGTCAAAATCGTGCACGTGGTAAACCAATATAAAGTAGAATTTCCTCGAAAATGCTGGTTGATAGCAAAAACCAAATCCGAAAAACTAATAGCCACATGGAAAGAAGTAAATAAAATGGTGCACGTGGTAAAACAATAAACAGTAAAATATTCTCAAAAATGCCGGTTGATAGCACAAACTAGACTAGAAGAGAAACACGCTACTGTGACAATCAAAATCGTAAAAACAACCTTGTATTTAGTGTAAGTATATTGAAACACTCAATCGATTTCGAGGGTAGCTAAAGGCCCCTCCTCATCAGGAGAAATACCTAGAAAGAAGAAAAATATAATAAAGGAGTCTCAGAAACAGGTGGTCCTTATCAGCACTGCACATGGTAATAACCGGATTTTTAATCAGAGTTACACTGGCCGCCTACTTTTACTGAGCCAGGCTATCTGATCAAACATGTAACACAAAGGACACAATTAGGAATTCGCTAATTCTTTGTCCTTTGTGTATGCCAGTATTATACACAGAAACATTTAAGTAAAGAGACAAAAGTGATTGTACACAGAAACATTTAAGTAAAATTTCATAAATAAAATTACCGTCTACCACTTTTTTTTTTTATTTTTGCATTTTAGTAACGTTTAAAAAATTGTTTAGCTTGCTTTTTGCTTGCTTACTTCGTTACATTATATTTAACGTTTAAAAATGTCTTGCAGTCGTAAGGAAGCAAAGAACAGCATTCAAAAATTTATCATTATTTTAATTATGAAGATGGAAATTCCATTCAGGATATCACTAAACTAGTAAATTTATCCCATTCTACAGTGCAGTATGTGATGAAATGCTCTAAAGAAGAAAATCAGATCCAAAATAAAGTAAGAAGAGGTTGTCCAGCAAAGTAGAATTGACGTGACTCAACGTGATCAGAGATTCATAGTTAGAAAATCTGTGAAAAATTAACATTTGAGTGTTGTAAAGATTTCTACTTCAGTTTCACTTAAAACTGTCTGACAAGTGCACAGATCAGCTGCACATGTGCCTTGTGCTCGAAGAAAATTTTTTGGAACTGCAAAAAATAGAAAGCCGAAGCATATTGGAATTATGCCCTATTTGCAGATGAAAGCAAATTTAACATTTTTGGTTTCTATAGGTGTACCATTCATTGTAAGGAGGAAAAAAAATGAGGAGCTTAATCCCAAGACCTTGGTTGGAACAGTTAAGTTCCCCATATGTGCAAGGGTGCATGTCAGAATCAGAATTAAATAATTTAGTATTTATTGATGGTACAATAAACCATGTTTTTTATTTAAATAGTTAAAAGATCATTTAAATTTAAATTATTTATTTAAATTTTAATTAAATTTAAATTGTTCACAATTTCTAAAAGCACCACCTCAGTAACCAGATTTAAATCCAACAGAACATATTTGGATAGAATTAGAGGTTAGAATATGAAGACACAACATTAAAATAAAAAACGAACTAAAAACAGTAATGTTGGAGGAACATTGATGCAGATTTCACAAATATTCTGGTTAACTTCTACGAAGAGATATTTGAAAGCTGTCATAAATATTTTAAAAGAATAAAATACTGCAGAATATACTACAAAATACTAACTTACAGAAATTCTATAATAATTACTAACACCAGCAAATTTCTTTAAAGCGTATGAAGACTTTTATGAGATTACTTTTTTATTATTGATTTTCAAAAAAAAAAAAAGTTTTAATATGCTCATAATATAATTAAATGTAGTTTTGTTAACATAAATTAATAAATATTAAAAATTTTTCATTCTAAAATATTTATTTTTATTAATGAATAAAGCAGCATATCACTGAAACTTGTAAGCGTACGAACACTTTTGCGAGCCATCGTACATATTAACTAGCAATTGCTTTGTCCTTCATATACTCTTGAAATAAATGAAAAATAACATTTAAAACATAAAATTTGAAACATTTATATGATGGAAATTTAAAAAATCTTTCATTAAATATTTCTATAAACTTGATGTAGTTATCTTTTTTCACTCTTAAGACAGTAAATAAAACATTTATGGTTATAATTTCAAAAAATTAAGATTCATTAAAAAAAAGCAGATTCTGGAAAAAAAAAAAAAAAAAAAAAAACTTAAACATAATTAAATAACAGAATGTTCCTTGAATTAAAACTACAAACATGGTGACAAAGTGTCAAATCTTGTTAGTTTCTAGTCAACTACAAAGACACTTGACCTTGTAATACTTCATTCTTACAATGATAATCTGTGCCATGTTTGGAAACCGAGTTGCTAACTGAAATCAAGTTGCAAACTGAAGTTTTTTTGGCGAAGTCTTTATGCTTATAAAATAAGCTTGCATTTTTAAGTTAAAAATTTAAATGTTTTTCAGAACTGGATAAGGGAAAAAAAGTGTTTTGGATTAAACCTAATATACATGGATTTCTTACCTGCATAGAAATATTTCCCAAATATCTTTTTTATACGCTTTACAGACATTGTATTACTCTACTTGGTGTGTCCAAGGTTTGAATGAAAATATGGTAAAAGTTTACTATTGGGTGCCCCTTGTTTCTTGGCGATTCTTTTTTGATGCCAAGATCGACACCAGGAAGGCACAATTTTAAGATGGCCACTACACAAAACCAAAATAAGAAGTCAAAGAATTGCACAAACCCTGTGTCCATGTACACAATGATCTGTTTTCACTTAAAAAAACATCCTAGAATTGCACAAACTACGCATTGTGCACTGCCTTAAATTTGTCCATGTACACATCAATCTATTTTCACTTAAATAAAATCAGGAAGCTAAAACAAAGTTTAAACTATAACGGTAACCAGAAGTGGGGTTTCAGTGGCAAAATTGAAAAAAAAAAAAAATAATAATAATAATAATGTTGCTAATCGAAGGGGCACCCAATTCTACACTAGAGCCGGAAATATTAGAGACCTCATTTCTCTTTCCCAGTATAATATATGGGTTCGTATATTTGTTTTGTAAATGATACAGACTGATGCTTTTAGTTTTGGGGTTGTATACCCATGGAAAGAACAAAGAAGAGATTTTTATTGCTAACCGCAAACCTACGATAGGTATTTCCAACACAGAAAGAGTAAAGTTTAGCTTAAAGTGTTATAACAGACATATCAGATAAATGCTTCAGAATTTCAATATTAGAAGTATTTCAAAGTGGTTACATTTACATCATCACTGCAGTGCATTTTGTTAGCCAATAGATATAATTATTGAATACTTATATAGTAAACAGTGATTATTAAAAAAAAAATTCTTGAAAACTATTTACATGCAGCTACTAAACAAGAAAAACCTTATGTACTCAAGTACTTCTGGGTTTCTTTGAAAATAATAAAACCTCCAAGTTGTGTCTGTGGCATCAGGAACAAAGTCAAAAATAGATTATTTAAACTTAGGACGCTGTGTGCGTAAACCGTACTCTGCAATGTTTCATTTCTGGGCATTCTTCACATTCAAAGTGTAATTAGATGAAAGGTCCACTTTCAAAGTGTGAGCAAATTTTAACCTGCAGCCTTAAAGGGGATGTTACAAAATATTATATTTTATATCTTTGTACTGCTCACAAAATCCTGTGAAAAGGATTCAAATTTGGGAAGAAATGCAGGAAAAACAAAACCTACCACCAGAATTGATTCTCAGTCAGACAGTTTGAACTTTTCAATGAGTCTACACATAGGCTGTTTAAAATCTCTTTCATTAGAGATTTATCTTCCATAAATGAAATTTATTTTCTGCCAAAACAAATAGTTCACAATTTATTTTGGTCAAATAACAATTTACACACCTGCCAAATGGCCAGTAGTAAGGTTTATGCGACTCAGCGTAATCTCTGCAAATCCTGAATTCTGCCAATGAATACTTCCCTGAATTCTATGAATTTTGCCACTTCTACACTCTGCCATCCAGTGTGAATAAACCAGCCTTGACCATACCTCATAGAGTTCCTTTGCTGTATGATGAAATTTTTAGAGCATTTGAAAATAACGGTTGTTACTAATCTAACACTTTTCAAAAGACGGAAGGTTTCTCTTTTGTGTAGACCAACACATTTCTTGAAATTACTCCTCTGTCCAAATGACTTGTTACATACATAAATTGAGGGATTACTAAGTGAATATTAAATATGTTTAAATATATCTATATTTAAACCATCGTTTAGTATGCCTCACACACAAGGTTTCTCTGCTGTGTGAATGCGCATATGCAGGTATAAACTACGCTTTTGATTAAATGAGTTCTTACATATTTCACACATACAAGGTTTCTTTTCTGTATGAGTAAGCATATGCATTTTTAAATTACACTTTTGACTAAATGACTTCTTACATACTTCACACATATGAGGTTTCTCTCCTGTGTGAATGAGCACATGCATGTTTAAATGACCCCTTTGACTAAATGATTTCTTACAAACTTCACATACATGAGATTTTTCTCCTGTATGAATAGCCATATGCAACTTTAAATTACAATTTTGATTAAATGACATCTTACATATTTCACATACATAAGGTTTCTCTCCTGAGTGGATAAACATATGCATGTTTAAACTACTCTTAAGCTTAAATGATGTTTTACATACTTCACATATATGAGGCTTCTCTCCTGTGTGAGTGAGCATATGCATGTTTAAAGTACCTTTATGACTAAAGGATTTCTTACATACTTCACATGTATGAGGTTTCTCTCCTGTGTGAATAAGCATATGCTCATTTAAAGTACTCTTTTGACTATATGACACCTTACATACTTCACATGTATGAGGTTTCTCTCCTGTGTGAATACGCATATGCATGTTTAAAAATACTTTTTGTCTGAACGACTTTCCACATACTTCACACATATGAGGTTTCACTCCTGTATGAATAAGCATATGCAGGTTCAAACTACTTGTTTGACTAAATGATTTCTTGCATACTTTGCACACATGAGGTTTCTCTCCTGTGTGAATGAGCATATGCTTAATTAAACTCCCTTTAGAAGTAAATGACGTCTTACATAATTTACACATATGAGGTCTCTCTCCTGTGTGAACAAGCATATGCTGGTTTAAAGTACCCTTACGTGTAAATAACTTCTTACATACTTCGCATATATGTTTATTAGTACATATAAGTTTCTTTCTTGTATGAATAATCTTATGCCTTTTTAAAGTATTCGTTCGTCTAAATGACCTGTTACATACCTCACACATATGAGGTTTCTCTCCTGTGTGAATAAGCATATGCTGTTTTAAATTACTCTTGCAATAAAAAGGCTTCTTGCACACTTCGCACACATGAGATTTTTCTCCTGTATGAACAAGCATATGCTTGTTTAAACTACGCTTTTGAGTAAACGCCTTCTTACATACTTCACATACATGAAGTTTCTCCTCTGTATGTTTAATCTTCTGCTTGTTTAAAACTCCCTTTCCTCTACTTGATTCCATACCTAATAAACCTGACAATTCTCTGCTGAATGGATACGCATATACGCTTTAAAAATGTTGATTTTGTTACATACTTAATATAATACGAAATTGTTGCTCCATATATAGACAACTATAACTTGATATCATATAACTTCTAAACATTTTACCATGATGTTTGTTCAAAAAAAATAATATTAGACTAAACCAAATAATTTCATGCCAGGAAATGGCGTGTTTTCATATTTTTGCAGATAATTGTTACGAAGAACACAGAAAATATATAAATCAAATATATTTAAAACAGTTCGTTCAGTTGCGGGCCTGCCTCTACCCGAGGCTGGGTGCATTATGAATAAAGACAAAAAAATTCTTAATAAATCATTCTTTATTTCCATCAAAACAGTATCACTCTTCCGAGATCAGCTTTCGTTCGTCCACACGTAAAACATTCGAAAACACTCAGCACGCAGGCTGACGTCACAACAGCAGCAGCGCCTCGCGCCGGTTATTACTTCAGTTCATTTCACAACATCCTCCCCCCCTTGAGACTCAGGTTGAGTCTCAAACTCATAACAAACATTATTTAAAAGATCAAGTCTTTTTGGAAGCTTTTACAAGTCGTCCAGAGGAGGAATATTGTTGCATCACCATTTTATCAGGTGCAATACCTCTTTTTTAACGTACACCCAGCACTAGAATTAGATTCCTCTGCACCCAGTTTCTTATCAGGAATTATGTTTCTATCATTGGACTGTATCTCCAGAGGAAAGATGCGTTGTATTGGTCGTATAACTATTCCATGCCGGGTCTTAAGTTTAACCGTACGAATCTTTCCATCACGTCCAGGGATCAATTCTGTAATTCGGGCTAAAGGCCAAAATAAACGTTTTCTGTTATCATCCCCCATCAGTACTATTTCTCCTACTACAGGTTCCCGAGATCGTTTTTCATTATGCTTTTGAACCAGTTGACTAAGGTATTCTTTTCTAAATCGTTGTCTCAGATCATTTAACAATTTAGTTCTATACTTTAATCTCTTATTAAGACTTGACGAATTTAATTCATCAAGATCTTCAACATTGGAATTTCTGTTCTCGATAAGAAACATGGCGGGTGTCAGAGGTACTAATTCTTGCGGATCTTCAGAAACATAAGTTAAGGGTCTAGAATTAATTATAGTTTCACAATCACAAATAATAGTATAAAGTTCTTCATATGATAACACTGATTTACCTAAAGTACGTTTTAAGCAATTCTTTTACTGTACGAACCAACCTCTCCCACCAGCCACCCCACCAAGCTGCAGTAGGTGGAATAAATTTCCAGATTATCCTTTCAGTTCCCGTTTCCTTTACTACTTTAGTCCAATTTAGTTTTGATAAATCATTAGATGCACCCCGAAAATTTGTCCCGTTATCACTATAGATTATTCTAGGGCGTCCGCGCCTAGCAACAAATCGTCGAAGCGCCAGGAGAAAACGCATCAGTAGAAAGAGAATTTACGAGTTCAAGGTGAATGGCACGGTACACAGCGCAGGTGAACAGCGCGATCCACACCTTTCCTCCATTTTTTAAAAACAGCGGTCCGGCCAAATCAATCCCTATGATTTCAAATGGCGCACAATCCGTAACTCGGTCTGGGCGGCAGAGGTGTCGGTTCGCTTGACATATGGCCTTAGTTAGTTTTAAATCTTTTACAAACGATACAGTTAAAGAGGACATTTTTAATGGCCTTTCTAGCTCTGACTATCCAAAATCTTTCTCGTAATATGCATTGCATCATCTGAAGACCAGCATGACAGTTCTTATTATGCACATTTCTGATTAATAACTTAGTGAAATCACATTTTTCTGGTAACAGTATTGGATACAGAAAGATTCATAGTCATCTCTATTTAGTATTCTCGTTTTAACTCTTAGAATACCATCATCATCAATGAGCGTTTCAATAAAATTATAAGATTTCTTATCAGTCAGATAATAATTTTGAACCAAACGAATTAAATTTTTCTCAGAATTTTCAATTTCATACTGTGAAAGTTCAATCTTTCCATTCTTTTCAGAACCACCTTTACAATTATTTACAAATCTAAATATCCATGCAAATACTCTAATCATTTTATCATAATTGGATACACTGATTCGATGCCAAGGGGGTGCGTCTTTTGATAGATCAATATTCACTCTTTTTATCTTTTTCCTCTCCAATTCTACTTCTTCATGCAAATAAATAATCTCACCAGTGGGCCAGTTTTCAGGGCTTTCTCGCAACCACAAGGGGCCTTCCCACCATCTAGACCGAAGCATTTGCTTCGCAAAACATCCGCGCGATAACAAGTCGGCAATATTTAGTTTCCCTGGGATATGTCTCCATGAATGACCTCGCGTCAACTCTCGAATCTCTTTAACCCTATTTTCGACGAAAACGGACCAATTTCCTTGCTCTGTTATCCACCAAAGGGGCAGTGGTTGAATCAGACCAGAAGGTAACTTTTAAATCGGGCAAACTGAGAGCTTTGATAATAGAATTTGCAAGTCTAGAACCTATACAACAGGCCATTAATTCTAAGCGAGGAATGCTTAAAGATTTCAAAGGCGATACTCTAGACTTCGCCCGTACGAGATTTATTTTTACTTCAGAATTAAATATTGATCGAACAAAGACGCACGCTGCATACGCCCCCTTGCAAGCATCCACAAATACATGTAGTTCAGACGTGTCATTGATAAACAAGTATCGAGGCAAAGTAACATCTTTCAAAACATTAAGTTCTTTAAACCAGTTCAAAAATATATTTACATCATTCGGAGACAATTCATCATCCCATGCAATTTTCACTTTCCACAATTTTTGCAACAACAGTTTTGGAAGCAATGTAGTTGGCGTTAATAAACCAATAGGATCAAAAATTGTCTGCACAATTGCCAAAATTGTCCTCTTTGTGATTTTCGTATCACAGGTCAATGTATCTGTGTCTGTGCAGCACCTCAGCGTATCATTATCCAAATTCCAAATTACCCCCAAAACGGAAGTATCCCCTGAATGTTTGTCAACATTTGTACCAGCCACATTGCTTTCAAAACCGCGCAAGTTAAAACATCCATTTGACATGATTAATTTGGAATGTTCAATAAACGTAAACTGTTCATCAATACTAAAAACACTAGATAAACAATTATCCACATAAAATGACGATTTCAATTTTTGAGCAACTTCACTATATTGACGTGGACAGTTTTCTAATAGATGCATTATAGATGCGTTCAACAAGTAGGGGCTCGAAGAAACTCCAAACACAACTCTGCAATGCCTATAAATTAATTTCTCTTCATTGCATGGGAAAAAAAAAAAAAAATCTGAGAAAATCTCTATCTTTAGATGCGACGGATAACATTAAAAAAGCCTTTTCAATATCGGCACTAATACCAATCGGATACATTCTAAAACGATCTATAATATCAGGTATTAATTCAATAAGATTTATTCCTTTACACACAAACATTCGTTCAAAGAGAGTTTCCCTTTCTCAGATGCAGAAGCGTCAAAAACAGGACGAATTTTCGTGGTTTCACTTCCTAATTTGATTACAGGCCTATGCGGCAAATAATGACATTCATTATTCAATTCGTTTTCTGGTACGCGTTCAATAATATTCAACCTTTCCCATTCCTTGAACACATTTTGATAATCATCGAAAAATTTACTACATCTGAGTTTATAGATCATCTTTTGATACCTTTTCCAGGATAATTCTTTATTATCGGTTAAATGTGTCGTATCACATTTCCACGGAAGTTCTACTTCATATCTTCCATCTGGAAGAATTTTCATTTTGTTCTCAAATTCAGATAAATTAAAACTTTCATTCATTTTAACAGTTTCGTTTGGAGCGCATATTCCTATTTTTTCAAGTTCCCATAACTCATTCAGAGGAATTCTCCTGACATGCATTGAAAATGTTTTCAAAATATTATCCTTTTCACCCGAATTTCGTTTTGCCAAATACCGTCCACCCAAGTTTCGTTTCGACAGCCGTTACCCCGGACTGTAATTCAATAGAATTTCCCGTCAATAATTTTCCTATAACATCAGCTCCGATTAAAAGGTTAATTTCAATTTCCTTTCGCAATGGATCAGAAAATTCGATTTCTTTTTCTTTTAATTCATTCAAAATCTCTTTATCCTTAACCTTAGGAATAAAACCGCAAATCTTTTTTTCCGATAATGCCTCAAAACTACATGCGAATGTTCCTTTTAAATTGCTGACCTCGACCGAAAACACTTCATGTTGTTTAGGTTTCGTTTCGTCCCCCCCAAACAGTGCATGTATAACTGTCTCCTCCCGAAGTGGAGATGCTTTAAGCTGACTCATCATATTTTCACTAACGTAGCTACTTTGGCTTCCGCTATCAATTATGCAGCGAATAATTTTCTCGCGACCTTGACACCGAATTCGAACGCAAAGCGTTTGCAAAAATACAGTTTCGCTTCTGCCTACAGTTAGAAAGAGAACTCTCTTTTGAAACATTTATCTGATCATTATTTTTTAGCTTTTGATTACACATTACATCAAAATGATTACAACTTTTGCAAATAGAACAACTTAACTTACCTTTGAAAGGACAAAATTTACTAATGTGACTCGCTCTTTTCAGACAAGAAAAACAAGCACCTTTTTTCAACAACAATTGTTGTTTTTCAGCTAAAGTCATTTTTTTTTTGCAGAGTAACATTTTTCACTAAAATGTTTCTTTTCACAAAAATTACAGTTCGGAACACTCTTACCTGAATTCTCAAGACTTACTAGAGCTGATGCTGTTACGGGATCATTTTGCTTTACCTGTTTCGTGGTTAAAATCTTTCTTTCGATGGTTCTGTTGGGAAGCGAAACCAGTTCTTGCGAGGAGAACCATCTCTTCCCCCCCTTAACTTCCTGTTTTAAGAAATTCATTAAATATTTCAAAGATCGATTCCCTTTAGTTTCAATGGAGTCGTGATTTCTGCTTCTTTCCCATGCCATCAGTACTTCTTCTGGTAAGCAACTTTCCACTAAGGGGGGGTCAAAAAATCCCCATATTTTTCTTGGGTTCTTCCCAAACTTTCCAACGCTCGCAATTTTCCTTCTAGTTCATCATACAGGGAGGGTAGATCCGTTTTTGCTCTTCCGGTTACAGCGTTCTTCATCACTAGGCTTAACAAGTCTCTCACATAGATTTGCACAAGTAAATCTTCGCGTCCAAAGCGCTCTCTTAGTTGTTCGATGGCTTTAGGATAATTAGCTGCCGTTGCCGGGAAGCTAAGGACTAGGCGTTCTGCTTTCGATTTGGGTTCCATGGCCTGCAATAAGATACTGCAT